TCGCCAGTGGAATAAGCGAGGTAGTTGGCAGGAGGAAGCGAGCGGTCGAGAGGAAAAAATCAAACGAGAAAAGAAAATAAAGAAACCAGGGGGGCAGAAAGAAGGAGGAAAAAGGGAATGGCAACAGAAAATCTGAGAAGGATAGAGAGGCGTTTGGTAGGGGGTACCAAGGATATAATTCAGCAAAAGCCTCGGCGAAATTAGTATCTGGATGTGCTCCCAGCGACCGGGTAAAGCTAAGTACACGCGTGGCGTGCCGGGATATTCATTCGAGACGATGACTGTACGAATCGGAGAACGATTCGACGAGTCCCAGTAGAATGATACCCGAGCCAATCGCAGCGTCCGGTGATGATCATGGCAGAGCCGAACGCTTCTCAGGCTTTTTCGCCGTTCGCGTGTTAATGTCGCAGATCGAGTACCAGTTTATTCCGTAGCGAAATGATTTTGCGATTGCCGGTTATCGACAACCGCGTTCGCCAGCTGAGACTCCCAGGAAACACGAGCCGACGCGAAGATGAGGCACCCCGGTCGACGGTGAAATGAATTTTAATGGATCGCGTGTGCCACTGGTCTTACAAGGTTATATTTCTTTTCGGCCGGACGAACGGGCGAGGGTAGACTTCTAATTGAATGTGTTTTAGCGGGCAACAGTTTTTCATTACGACTGCTCGGGTTTATTTGACAGATACGCCTGCACGCTCTCTATGATGGCTCGTTGGGATCGTAACGCGACGGCTGGAAATTGTATCGAGGCTGAAGGGGTTCAACGAAATTCGGTTAGGGATTTTTGCGGTGAGAAAAATGACTACTGACTTCTTCTTGTATATTGAATGTTATAGTGAATATCTGTGGTAAAATAAGATTTTAATAAAATACAAAAGCTTTCACTGAATTGTTAATTGTCGTTTCCCTTCGTTCGATTTCAACATACCTATCAAGAAATTTTGGAAAAGTCCAACCAGGCTATCTTTTAGCCGCCATAAACATGAATTCGAAAATATATTGCCGACTCCACATGTTCAACTTTCACTTTCCACTGATTTACCAAAATTTATGGCTACATATATTTTGAAAAAGCGTGGACGAACCTTCCTCTTCGTATAATTTTTACCGTTCTCGCTATCAATATAAATTCATCCTATAACCGATCATATATAATATGCTCATAATTTTCACAATAAAGTATTTCAGTAGCAAAATCAACTCACTAATACTGCTCAACATTAATTCCTTTCGATTAATTTACCAATGAGTTATATCGTTGAAAAAAAATGAATCATTGTCGAATTAGGTAGTGTTGAAAAGCTAGATTCAACCGGTTTGTTAAACCGATAGCAGCGAAGAACAGAATTGAAAGAAAAATCTGTTGTTATAAGTTTCACAATATATTCAAATGAATTCTTTACGCTAGCTTTCTCATAGAATACATTATCTTCGCAAACCTTCATTACTCAATCAATATTACCGTCACCCACATACTATTAACACATTGCTGACCGGTCACGAGTTCACTCGGTCTTTCATACCCAAACGTTGTTGACCGGTCACGAATTAACTCGCACTTGGACTTGTATTAGCCATTTCAATATTTCAAATGCAGAGCAATATAAAATATGGCAAAAGCAAGATATTCAAAGTTCTGTAAAAGATAATGTCCAAAGTTTCATTTCAATTCATTATGCATAAACAAAGTATATTGAAGCCCATTTACATTGTCCTACTTTCATGTTTAATTACGGAATAATAACCAGTGACACGGGACAGCTTCCGCGTAAAATTTCCGGTCAACAATGTATTAACGCAGCTACAAACGTACGAGTCGTTACAATCCGAACGACACAGAACACATCGAACGATCGAAAAGCTATGATGGTTCAAATCATTCCTAATAGAACAATTTAACACTAGGTTTACCGAACACGTAGATATGACGCGCATTAAGTTTCACAAACGTTATTTAACACTGAAACTACCATGCAATTAGAGTGATTTTTTCATAGTGCCCTAAGAAGATTAAAAAAGTGTATTCCTCGAAATTTGAAGCGTCTCGAACTGATGTATTCATACAAATACATCGATCTACTTTAAGTTTTCACAGAAGCATGTTTACAGTTTCAATAATCGTGAAGTAAGAATTTCCAGATTTGACCAATCTGGTAGTTCTAATTAATAAATGTTTACGTCGATTTCGGTTCATGCAATTGCACGAATACCTATCCTGCTTGTCCATTTTCGAACCTCTAATTCCCGAGATCTATCACATCAATTGTTGTAAGAACAATAGACTAAACAGTACAATAAATATCCGTAAAGCCAGCGTTAAAAAGAGGAAAGAAAAACGAATGAGAACGTAAAAGCAAACGCACGATGACCCGACAAGCAAAACAGAAGAAACAATTACACGGCGGATGAACGGCGGCTAATTATCGAGGCTGCGAGGGTCCAGCGCGGTCGCCCACGCGACAACACCGATTAGACGATTCATCGCATCCTTTTCAGAACGTCGGGTTTTATCGCGCGACATTTGTCCGCGCGCACGGCGCGACGCGGCGCGACGCGGCGCGGCGGGTTTCTCACGCGGCCGGTTAATATGTGCAGAAAATGATTGATCAATTACGGGGAGAGGAAGCGACGTTGGACGGGAGAGGAAGCGGTACGGCGCGGTGCGGCGCGGACGGGCGTGCGAGCGACGCCGGCCACGGTGTATCGTTTCGCGGTGGCTCGGTCGGCCGACCAGCATAGACACACGTACCGTGATTCAGTAACGTGTAACTAGCGGGATTGCGATCGGCAAAACGCTGGACTTGTGCCCAGCACGCTCCACCGGGCTGCCGTTCGGACGAGGACGGGACGACCGGTCGCCCCTCGTGAAAGACGGAGACCGGGATCACGATAAGAAGATGTAGCACGAGTACCCTCCTCTTCGGGTACTAGAATGGAAAAAGGAGGAAGACTAGGTGGAACGAGGGGGCCCGTAATCGTCCGTCCTCGTCCGTCCACCTTTCTCCTCGTCCCTCTTCAGCGACGAAGGGAAGGACGACGATATCGGGTCCTTCCGTATGAGCGCACGTTCGTGAAACGGCGAGCCGAAAGGAGCAAAGAGAGAAAGAGAAGGAACGTTAAGCCGTGCATACCGTGGCACGGCTAACCGAGGAGGATCAGAGGAGGTAGGAAATACGGGTCCGCACGGTAGGTGCAACGAGGACAAAGAAACGGTGACGATGGCTTGGTGTGGGCGCGTGTCTGGCAGCTGCCGCTTACAGGTGGTGTGCTTGCTTGGGAACCAACCTCTACGGACCGTTCCCACGGAAGGCCTGTCCCCCACTAGGGACCCAGGCTGCAGCCCCTCGCCCCACCCTGCCGAAGGGCCCTTGACTATATAAGCGTCGGCCACGGCCGACAGTCACCACAATCACTGTGATCGTTCACGAAGTTCGAACCTGGAGACGCGTCGGTGATACACAAGTCCTCGATACGTTTCCACCGAATTTCAGTGAACCGAGTTCAAGGGAGAAACAGATACGGAGAACAGTCGCGAGAAACGTGTCCGAACCATTCGGTGTGACAATATCAAGGACACCGAGCGACAAGTGTGACGATAATAGACCCGCGATAAGTGAAGTTTCCTTGTTGTAACCGGTGTGTGAAGAACGTATAATTCCCATCGATCGACCAGGATTTTAACCGCCATGCAGATGCACGAGCAAATCATGATGGTCGACGGACAGGAGCAACCGATCTCCAGGACTTATCAGTACAGAAAGGTAAGCGTCCTTTAAATCCCGTTGGAAATCCTTCGCGAGGATCCTCTTTGAGTCTTTGAAAAAAAAACGAAAGTCGAATAGAACTTCTTCGAAGTTCCTTCCTTCCGAGATCGTGTATACAGTTTTGACTTCGGCAGCAGCGTGTCTATAACGATTCCCTATTCTCGATTTACAGGTGATGAAACCTATGTTGGAACGCAAACGCCGAGCGCGCATCAACCGGTGCCTCGATGAACTGAAGGACCTGATGGTGACGGCTCTGGCGGGCGATGGCGAGAACGTGGCGAAGTTGGAGAAGGCTGATATCCTGGAGTTGACCGTGCGTCATCTCCACAAGTTACAACGGCAGCAACGACTCTCCGCGAACCCGGTGATCGACGCGGACCGCTTCAGAGCCGGCTACACGCATTGCGCCAACGAAGTCAGCCGCTGCCTGGCCGCCACGCCGGGCGTGGACGTCGCCCTCGGCACCAAACTGATGACCCATTTGGGCCACAAACTGAACGCCATGGACAAAACTGGCCCGTTGACCATCCACGTGGCAGCACCACAATCATCCCCGTCCTCGAGCAGTGACCTCAGCTCCGACGAGTACTCTATGCCCCTGACGCCGGCCTCCAGCCAGCCCTCGCCGGTGCGAACGGAGATCGAGACCATGTCCCAAGGACACCAAGGCCTCCTGCAGGTCGCCAAACCCAACGAGCCAATCTGGAGACCGTGGTAATCGGAGCGAGGTCGACATCGACGGCCGACGGGTGTCATCCGGTGTGAACCGGAGAGGGCTGAAGAGGATCTTTCGCGTCGCCCGGGTGAATATCGCTCGGGAGGAACATCAACTGCGCGGGACACCGCTACCGGTGTTGCAATTTTGTCTGTGATTCGAGCGAACGACTTCGCGCTCCCTCGACGGAGGGAATCATCGATTCTGAGAAGAATCGTCCATCAACGAAGAGGATTAGTTTTTAATAACGCCTACGGGGTGTGCAAATACGGACTCGTGATCCGAAGAGGAAAATAGACTTAAGATTCTCCTTCTTTTCTCTCTGTTTTCTTCAGTTTATAATTTGCTCAAAACCGCTCGGAGTGAAATACCGTGGGGGGTGAACAATGTAAGGGGGAAAGTTAATACGGTATAAAATTATTTCCTGTAACGTCGTCCGTTAGGATGTTAGGGATCCGGTTAGGATCGAACGGTATAGTTTGTAGGCAATCGGAAACTTAGGATCTCGATGTAGACTCGCGGATACACTCGCGTAGCAGCGACACGGCTGAAGCTTTAATTCAATCGACAGATATATTCTATTCTTTAGTTCGTAACTTTTTTTATCGAGAATTTTATTTTGCCAATTTCGGTGCGAGACGGTCCATCGGCGATCGGGCGCGTTTTCTCGCTTCGATCGGCGTAGGAATAGAGAGAAAAAGTCGTCGACGCGCCGGAAATTGTTGTTATAATGTACATATAACCTCCTCGGTCAGCTGTATCAGTTTTACACATTCGAATAATTTGTGATCCCGTCGACGCCGCTGGTATCGACGGGAATGACGATCGGGCAGAGGTTCTTGTGATAGAGAAACGTGTACCTGTGATATTTACTAGACGCAGAGAAATGATACTAGATTTCTAATAAACATGTTTCATTGATCAATTTCGTCGTTCGCTTGTTTACTGTTCATCGACACGCCTGATTTACCCTATCCCTCCTATAGATCTTTTACATTTGTTTCTTGTCATTTAAACTCGTTCTAATACAAATGCAAGTTTTTTAAAGTTTTCAATATAAAGTGGGAAAACGTTTTGATTTCGCAGTGCATGGAAATAGAGAAGATTTGCAATTGATACGATTAAGAGATTGAGGTATGAGAGGTACTCACTTTTTCACGTATTCCCCAAATTAGAGCGGCACATTCCTTTCCCGCGTATCACATTCACCTGAAATAATAACGATAATTGTGTTAAATGGGCAAGAGGTAACAAAGTTTTCGTAACTTTATTGTTTATCTGAATAATCAATTGAAATTTATTTTTTAAGTTATAAAAAGTACTAATCATATAATTAAGGGGAATACAATAATCTGAAGTGCGCTTTCTACCGAAAGTGTCAAGAGATAACTTTTCAAATTTTAACTTAAAATTATTTTCTTAGTTATATATTCTGAATTAACTTTTCGACTTTTCCAATAACGATTATAAAATTAACTATAGGAAATGTCCAAAATTCAATTGAGAAAAAATTATTCAACTGAAAAAATAATTCTAAGTTAAAATTTCGAAAGGTGACTTTTGATACGTTCGTTAGAAATAGTGTAAAATGGTTTAGAGAGCGTGCATTGCAAGTTAAACTACAAATCTATGAATGCTTATTTCAAATAGTGTATATAATGTAAAATTATTATTGCCTTAAACAAATTTTATTTATGTCTGTTTCAGCAGTGCATTGACGTAAGTATTGATTTCAAACGATTGATATTTATTTTGAAAAATGAATTTCGGTACCTTTCTCAAAGAGCGCGTCTCTTATTAATACTAGAACTACCGAGCATTTAATACGATTGACATGTAATCCCTATAAGGATTGTAACTATAGATTAGTTAGGTCCAGTCATTATAATATTTAGGTGCAACTATTTATTTTCAAAATCAATTCAAATATCCAATGCTTCGAAGATATCAATAATTGGAGAAACAAACAAACCGAAACCAGTCAAAACGACTGGTACGGTAGTTATAATGTTAACTAAACTTATGATGTATATCATCATTGCATAATAACTATGTGATGTAATAAAAACCGTATATAAACAGAAAATCGCAAAATTAACAACATTGTCAGAAGTTCTTCAGTTCTGTGCAAATTGTACGGACTAGGATACATGTATGTATCTTTCAACTTTTGGTTAAAATTTTTAATCAATTTTAGTAGGTACATAGCAATCAAGAAAATTTTTCTTTGTGAACAGTCATGTGTATTGCGTGATTAAACAGATAAAAATGATTTATGCAGACGAAAAGTGTTTTCCGAAAGAAACGTACGAAATATCGATCTTGTGTGGCAAATTTTAAGGATGGACGAAATTGTGATTTCTACGTTTCCTAATTAAAATATGTAAATATATAAAATTATCGTATACACAAATTAAATAATTGTACTCCTCTGATGTATTCAGAAAGAATTTAATTATACCGTTAACGTCAATTTTGTGAGAAAAGATAAGAAGCACGCTGTTTCGATAACATACGAATAGTTAAGTATATTCATTAATTAATCATGAAAGCCGAAGACACCAAAAATACAAATAACATTGGACATGGAAGAAGAAAAAATAAAATTGCAAAAAACCATCGAATCAACTAAATTAACATCAAAAGTAAAAACATTAAAAAATGATCAATCAATAACAGTAGAAAAAAAAGGAAGAAATCTGAAAAATAAGACTTTAAAATTGAATTAAGAAAACTTGAACTTTATCGTAAAATCGTTATTCAATAGATTTGCAATATAAATATATATTTCGTAAAGTAAAATGTTATAGAAATATTTTAAAGAAGTAATAAAAGGTATTTACCTTGGCCAACTTTTTACTATCTTACATTTACTAGAAATCATTATTTTGAGATTAAACAAATTTTTTGAATTTATATACAATTTATATGTATCAGCTACATATAGTGTGTATTACACATTATTAAATCATTTTCTTATTCATTAAATTTCTTTAATTTATTCCTGCGTTTAAACAACACAAAAAAAATAATCTTGTTTAATTAAAAATAGTATGTTAGTAATAGTAAAACAGTACATTTAATATGAAACCATAATTATTTTTGTTTACATTGACGATGGTTATTATAAAGAATTTATTGATGTTTATTTTTACTATTGCTATTTCTGCTTTAAACAATTATGTTTTTCATTCTCGTGAAGTTTAGTTTATTTACACACTTACATGACAAATTTTTTCAATATATAGTTTATTTAAACACTTAAATCCCACTTTTTATTTTAATACCTTTATAAATGTTCCCTTCTCCCGAAACAACAAACAATAGAAATTTTATTATTGACACGTGTAATCTAATTTTGTCAACCGAAATAATCTACTAGAAAATGGAAAGATATATGAACATAAACTGTCATCATTCTGAAGGTATATGAATTTTCTACGTTCATGCACTCTACATTACAAACACTGTACTAAAAAGTGTACACATTGATGCTGCACCATAGAAACGAAAGATACTAATCTCTTTGAAAGAGAAATTTAATCAAATAAGATAACGAAAACAAAATGGAACCAACAATGTTGCTCTTACATATTTCGCAAAATGTACAGAAACGATACACAGTCACCCCGTCATATCGAAGGATCAAAATCGATATGAAAACAATCTATACACGTTGTTCGTCTCGAATCGATATTTTCCAATAACACGCTCGCATGGAAATAAAATGTTTACTTAGAATACAATATTCTCCGAACCGTATGGATATCGTTTAATGTACAATACTGCGCGAATACAAATTTATGTTGTGCACTGCGGCGTTCTATTTAACGAATTCGTTAAGCATCCATGCTTCGGACGTACGAGTGTAAAGGGTTAGGTTAGTATCCGAGTTGTATCTACATCTTCTGCTGCAGACTTTAACGAGAAATATCTATCTACATAACCAATAATATTTTTCCGTTAACGTTTCTGTAACAGTCGAAATGAGCGTCTTCCGTTGACGAGCACAAACCTCTGCCAAGGTTAATTATCAAACCACAATTTGCTTTGGAAACATTGGCGGCACACGTGCAAGCGTCGAGTAAATATAAACGCATTTCGTAGGAACACGTTGATGCTCGTCAAGTCTGGGACACGGAATTCAAAGCACGGGACCGTCACAACAATAGGTGTACACCAGGTAGTCCTGAGAAACCGGGAAACACCTTTAGAACACGATTATACTCACTTTTTCGAGATCGAAACCGCCACTCAGGTGTAGCACGTGCTGTCATCACAGGTGCACGACCACGCTCCGCGGCCATCTTGTGGCAGTTTTCGGAAGGTGCCGAGCATAAGGCGCTACGCTGTTAGTAAAATAGAATTCAAACTAGAAGAATCGTGTATACCATTAAATCTGCAAAAATTATTTTAATTTTTTCCAAATACGTTGTCCTTTTATAATAATGTTTAATGTTTTTTAGAGAATACACTTAGTATATTTACACGAATATTCATAAATTTTGTGCAATACTGTACAACTCAAGATAATTATAAATTTTGTTTTCAACTTTAAAATTTCCTGACTCTAGGATTATTAAACTGAGTGATAAATATTTAAGAATGAATTTTGCATGAATTACTTTGCTATAATTATGTGGTTAAATACATTCGTTCTTTCCTTGTCTGTGGTTTTATAATACTTTCTATAGAAAGCATTTAATACTTTGTTTCTTTAATTCGGTAATTATTTCAATAATACAGCATTATTTTAAAGCCGCTGCACAAGTGAAAAAATTTAATGTAATTAAACTATCATAACACGAAAACTTTTAATTTAATTGAGTCAGACTCAGATTATATTATAAGCTTACGCTTTCTTCAGCCATGAGAATAATATTATAAAATGTAACAATAAATTTAATATATTATCATTACAAATTCATTATGTATGAATTCGTAATGGAATTGCGCTAAATTATGAAACTATGAATTCTAATGATATTCTAATTTTATTATAAATTCATACGATGTTCAGATAATTTTTACGGATATTGGGGTAAATAAATATTTAACGAATAATCTAAATCTACCGTCAAGATATAAGATAGACTGGACATGCAATGTAAATTTTTGTCTCAGAGTCGGGAGGTTACGTCATCCGCTTAACGTTCCAGTATCAGTTACAACGTTACCAACACAATCCAAGTAAGTACAAATAAGTAAACAAAAAATGTTTTTCTATGTTTTGATCTTAATATTAAATTCCTCTATATACTCGTAATTTCTAATATACATTTATCAAAATATTAATCATAATTCACAATTTTCGCACAATGAGCCGCAATTGCCGAATAAAGAATATAGAAAGACGCAAAGTTCCCCCTATCCTTTTGTTCATCATGTGTCGAACAATTATGAAAAACAACAAAGAAGGAACCAAAGAAAAAGTCTTCGATTCGAAATCGAATGTTAGCTGCCCCAGTGCCGAAATCCAAAGCCGTAATGGTTTTGGGTCACAGAAGCAAGGTATTGTATTCCCAGTCGTGGAAATGAGTGCAACACTTAGTTATTTCCAAGGGAGGTTTCATTATAAAGATTTTCGACGTGTGGTGAGGCCGCCTTTTACACTGTGTACGACTAAGATCTAATTTCGATGGTTACGGTTTGACAGTGCTGAACCAAGTCTGCAGGGTCGATTTAGTCCTTTTTAAAAGAAAAAATAGGAGTAGTGGGGATGAGATAGTCTTAACCTAACGGATTTTAATATTAACGTAATTAATTCTAATCCCTTGGTGGATAAGTTCTTTCTTGAGCCTAAATACAGTGACGAATGAGACTCGTGGTGAAAATTAACAGATTAATTTAACAAAACTCAACTATTTTGCTGTTATCAATGTATTATCTTCAAATGAAATTTCCACTTAAAGTAGAACAGAGAATTTTGTTACATCTCTTCCAAATTATCGATAGTAAAATGCTACACAAACTCAGTAGCGGAAGTAAATAATATGGCAAGGGGTTAAAGAGATACAGCATTATTAGTGATACGGAGCAAGAGGGAAAGGCATGATATATCCCCCATGGCGGACGATCGATGTCTTTCGCGACTTTAATTCTATCTTAATTTACCCTTAGCGGATAACTTAAACTGTACATGGAGCAGCAGTTGTCGAGCAATTATCAAGCTGAAAAGCAAAGTGAGCGAATGAAGAAAGTAGTCCTTGATTCGATAATAAGAGAGATCAGAGAAGAAGCAGCTGATTAAAAAAGAGACAAATGAGGATGACACGTAGCAAACCGCGCGATCTACCAACCAGAACCACAGTCTCGAGTTACGATGCTCTCATACGAAAATCAGCGAATGAACACGGCCGGTGCCAGATTCCCGTTAACTTCAGAACGTACTATTTTCATACGACTCACGAGCAGTAGGAACTGAGCATTAAGCTTGCCGACTTTGGATGATGGTCAATAGAACGAGGGGAACAGCAGTATTACCTACGAAGGATACTGTGTCGCGAAGGTGTTAACGGCAGCGTTGAAGCGTGAAATTGTGTTCGTTGAAGCACAGACAAGGTACAGTATTGAATATCAACTATGGGTATCTCTATAACACGCACCGATCGCAGGTTTCTCCATCGAAACAGTATACCGACTGTGGTAATAGTTCAAAGCCACCTGTAAGGGTGATTTCTTTCCAACGAAAGTCCCATGAAGCTATTTATTATGAGGACAGGTGTAATACAAAGAATATAAAAAATTCTATGTGGTGCCATTTTCTTGAAACCTTTTAATATCTTTATGTTGTGCTTCTAGGACTTTTTCAGAAGGTTGTCTAATTGAATATATTTCGTTATTTTATTTACATTAATATCTCCATTGGTACGTCATCTTTTTACCTTTGTCCAGTATACGATACGCAGTGTGCAATCAAAAAATTAGATTCACGCGTGTATGACTGAGATTCTGTATTCTAAATTGTGTATTTGCTATCTACTTTTATGCTTTTCTAAATTATTAATTTTCAATTAATGTCCAATCACACTTACAGATGTAACAATTCGATGAAGGATTTCCTGTTACATAGCTGTACATTTTAGTATCTGCCATAGTGAATTTGGAATTGTTGTGAATATGTAAGGGTAGAAATGCCTTAGGAGGATTTTTTAAAGATTTATTAAGCTGAATTATTTTTCAAGTTATTGAACAACGGACTGTAAAACCGTGGGTGTAAAATGACTGAAATTGTCGATTGAGAAATAGTTTAACACGTGCGCTAGCAGCGTCACATATTTGTGACGGCCGTAATCCTATATTTTACACAACGAAAATGAAATTAATCCTATAAATATTGTTATTAGAAATTATAAACTATGACATTATATTTAGGAACTTAATAACTCGTTTCAGTTTCATATTTCTAATATTTTGTTTAGAAGATTTATAGGATCGAGGAGAATATTATAATTGAGGAGATCGTCACCGAAATCGCTGGATACAAAATGAGTACCTTTCTCAGGTCACTATTTTGCCTTAGGACTCCCTTCATCAGCGTGACTCTCGCTCTTTTTATTACACTCCGAAATTCGAGAATACTTTCCCTTAAAAAGACACGCATTGGCGGAACGCAAACGATCAGCGTTCGACCGTTTCCCCGTTCAAATTTTCTTACAATTTGCTTTTCAATTTCATTTATTTATTTTACAAGTAAATCATGTAGTACATTTTGAAATTTAATGTAATGGGTTGGCAGTATCTCGTAGAGTCTCCCAACTCCGAATAATAAGAACCTCTCATAGCCAGCGATTTGTATAAATGTTTCATGCACTGAGATCAACGCTCGAACGAATTTACGTTCATCGGATGATGCGAATTGCGGCCTGCTCGGTGCATACTTTAAACAAATAGTCTTACGTATCTCGACATCGTTCGATATATTACCTTCTACATTTGATTCCTTAGCCATACTCGATACAAGCGTACTTCGTTTAAACAACAATGATACAATTCCCCGTTTGTTTCCGACAGGCTGTGAAGTCGACACGGCTGCTTCAGGTGCGCCTTATACGTGGAATTAGCTGCTAATGTGTCATATTTCGGACATCCGAAATCTTCCAAATTTATTCCACGTATCCCCATTTTTTGTAAAACATCTTTCTCTACGTGCCCCCCTTTATATGCTACAAGAGGGTTGTTATACGGTCTCAAGAAATCTCTAATGACTGTCGAAATATCGTTTTGTTTAAATTTCTCGTAACCAAAATCCTTAAACGGTATTCCGTGCACGTGATTCGTAGCATGCTCTACTGTCCTCTGATCGGACACTGATAAATTGCCAAGATTTTTATTTATAAGAAATTCCGCCAATATATGACTCCCGTCAGCAACCTCCATGATAGCCATTTCTTTACATAAGAAATTATCTCCAACCATAAATCCATCCATATCGATTATATGCGTGATTCGATTCATCTAAATATAATACAAAGAATAATAAAAAACAACAAATAATTATTCATTTCTATGGTACTTACCGTTGATTATAATGAAGTGCGCGCACACTTTAGTTAGCACAATTTGGCTTCGCAAAATAGAATCGTATGTCTCGGGTCCTCTCGTACAACTAAATGTGACAGTTCGTAGAGGTAGCTTATATATATACTAAAATCTATATACATCTTTGAACCGTTTGAAGTGTGACAGTGAGATAAAAACGATATCTTATCATCAACTGCAGTTGATCTTTATACGAGAAAAAAACGAAAATGGAAAAACTTTTAGAACAGGTTTAGAATAGCCGTAGGCTTTCTTCGAGCGATAAACTGAAAAGAACCACATCCTTCGTCTGCGAACCATGACGCATCCCTGAATGTCATCGATAATATTGCAGCCCAATTTAATTCGTCAGGCCTTTGAAAGCGCAGCCATAAAACGCATATATACGCCGAATTAATAAAGAGAAGATATCGAGTACCGCTGTAATTTCATTCTGCAAAGTGTCGGCGTTATAAAGAATGATACCACAATGGTAAAACGTTTTTGGAAGTGTCAAAAATCCTTCTTGTAAACATTTTTCTTATGCAAAATAGGGCTGTTGGTGGAGTATCAGACTAAGCGGAATAATTAAAAGTTTCAGAAATTATAGGGTTGAAATTTAAAATGATAAAACGCATGTTCGATAGATTTTCTGTCTTAATCTTCGCATCACCGGATATCCCTGTTGCAAACGTGGTTTTTCGTGAAATGAAACTATCTGCGAAGTTTCAACCCCATCGGATTTGTCAAGTTTTCGAAAGTTTCGCCGCGCTCTGTTGGTAACGTTGTAAGCGACGCGAGAATGGCAAAGACGTCACATAGCATCGATAAGAAATAGGATAGACTGGACATCTTACGAGACTCGACAGTCTGAAATATCAACAAACAAATTGATGTTTAACAATTATAATTCGTCGGTTACCGTGCGATCAGATACCATCCAATACCGTTACCATCGATAAGGTAGAATAATACTCAGTTGATAACGTTAAAGGTCACGTAGAAGTCAAGTTCCTGGTTTATGATCCTTTCAGTCAAAAACTTCTGATCCTGTGTCTGTGGTATTGCAAAAGGTTATACGTTTAGTTGTCTGATGGCGCAACTATTCACTGTTCATTATTCTGGAGAACTTGCATTTTCACCCCCTAAGTAACTATCATTTTCTTAAAATGTAATGATAAATTTCATTCGGTCAATTTTTCATTTAGATTTTATATACTCTTTAAATTTTTTAATTTTTAACACCTGTCTTTGTCAAATCTATATCAATCTTAATAATTTATGAGAAAATAGTGTATTTAATTTTGGTTTAAAGAATGAAATTAATGAAATGGAATTTCGTTTAAGTCAATAAATTGTGTTAAACAATATTTTTAACACAATAACACTATTACCTTTCTATTCTATTCTATCATTGTTTTTAATGATAAGACACAAGTATTTCTTATCAACGAGCTTTACTAATATCTTTAATCAAACCAACAACATCAATCATTTAAACTTATCAGTAAAGTTTTCTAATAACAGAAAAATTTGTTATATACTTATCGTACTATTTAAGGATTAGAAGAGTTGCATTAAAATTTTACTGAACAAAACTATTTCGTTTCATTTATTGTAAATTCTTAAGGTTTATAAATTTTTAATTCCAGAAAAGTCTTAGTTAGACTGTTTATTAATTATCCAAGAATGAACTTTTTGCACACTACGTATGCATCATTCGGTAGTCATTAGTAAGGAAAGTCTAGTTTAAGTCATCATCGCTTTAATATGTTTTATCGTAATTCGACTGATTATTAATTTATGACATATCAATTGTGATTCATGATTGCGGTGGCTTCATATGAACACGTGGTTAGCAATATCACTTATTACCATGTATTCAGAAACTGACGTTGATCGTAGACAAATTTAGATTGGTACTGGACAAACTCATAAAACACAAAGCATATTCATTATTTCTCATAATACTCTGTTATAATGATTACCTATAAGTGTGATTACATACTAGCCATATTATCTGACCACAGGTTAAAGTGCGTGTTTAATATTCATCAAGTTGCATTCTCACGAGGTGGAGGAATTATTAAGTGAAGCTGAAGTAGAACCATATCGTCTGCAATTAACATTATTGTTATGAAACGTAATAAATTGTATTAAATATCTCTTTCTTGTGCATTAATCCAACATTGCATTCGTTATATTATTTCTCGAAAATTTATTTTCTTACCTTTTTTATTCTTCCCATATTATACAATGTAGTTATAAACACGTTTTCGTTGCTGTATCGATAGAGAAATTCTTTACTAGAATAGTCAATTTTTTAATTTAACTTAGAAATAATTTAATAAATATTTAATAATTTTCTCTAATTTTTGGAACAAGATTGCATGTTGACTATCACGAAATAATTTCAAATTAAGGATGTATTTTAACGTACAAAAAGAATTAATATTATCTGTGTAACAAGTACACTTTTTACGATTGTGTTGTTATTTTAAGTAAATACAGATTCATCAAATGGAATCCTAAACATGGAATCCTTTCAGCCAAGTATGTAAATTAAATCAGTTTATAATAGACGTGAGTAACGAAGTTACGTCGGGATATATTAGCAGTAAGAAATGAAATTAAGTCATAAACCTAAAGCGACACAGTCAGAGTAGTAGAGTAAGATGACGTGTAGTCAGATAATCAGTTTAAATTCATGTTGAGACTCAGAAGTAGAATGGAATAATTTTCTGTCAGTCTCCTAACACGAGATGAATGTCAAAATAGACACAATCTATATTATTTTATTATTTCGACTATAAATAGAATGTAATGCTCTATAATTTCGAATACACATTTAATATTCGATACAAAATGAACATCGAACACTTTCTGAACACCATGTTACATGTTTCGTAATATTAAACCCCATTGAAATGTTTCATTTCACTCCAAACTTTGCCATTTCAACTTTTCCTTCGAAATAAAAGTAAATTAAAAGAAAACAAATTAATATAAAGGAACCTGAAGTTTTTGATAAAATTGAATGTGAATCGAATAAATAGGTGTAACACGCATAATAAAAACTCAATACAATATCTTTATATAAGTACACTTGCTCCATCATTAATTTCCAGAACTCCCCCGAAAAGCCTCATAAACCTACAAGCAAAATCGATCAACACGACATTCCAATGAACACAATATTCACATTTGCTCCCGTTTACCTTTCAAACAAAATATCCTAAACGCGCTAAAACAGCCGAGAAAGAGAGCGAACGATTCGCAAACAATTGCGCCATTCCATCGATTACAAAGGGGCGAGTGTATCGCAGGTCCCAAAATATCGAATGTCCCGAATTGAGAA